AAAAAAAAAAAAAAAAACACCCACCCTGCTCTCAAAATCCACTCCTGAGCGGGAATCTTTTCAATATCTAGACTGCTTGACTGTTGAATCAGGTGTTATGTCCACATATAATTTCAATTCGCTTTGCTTTTGCCTTATCTGCTGGTTAATTATCATGCCCTGGTTTGCCAGCTCGGTGCTAAGGGAAATGTTATCTCTCTTTTTTTTTTAAATTGGGAAATCATGGTAACCACAAAGAGCACTGAATTATGAAAGGTGTTTGGTAAAGTACTCTTGACCCTTTCTTCCTTTCTGCTTACCTGCATTCCATAGTGATGATTTTGGCTACTCATTTAATCAATCATTTAATCATGTTGGTCTTTGACACTGGAGGTGATGAGAGAGCAAGAGAAATGATCATGAAGAAATTACACTGTTAGTCTTAAAAGAGTGATAGGAAGAATACAAAGTCCTAAAAAAAGAAAAAGGCTTGAGGGCCTGACATCTCAGCATCCAGCTGCTCTCCTTTGGGACCCTTCTTTCGTTGTGCTAATGATTTTAGTGTCGACTCACTGAATCTAGTTTTTTTTCTTTCGTTTGTGATCTTTCTGTGAAAGTTTAAGGACAAACCATCAGGCAGAAAGGATGAATCAACTCCTCTGGGTCTATGACTATGAAACTTGTGGGATCCAGGTAATGACCAAGCTGAAAATTGCTTCAACTAGCATAGACGGAAGCAGGTAGAAGGCGATATAACTTTGAATTCTCTACTTGTTTCCGGAGATCACGCATCCGGGAGGTCTCCCTTGCATTTTCATGAGGCTGAGGGTATCTGTGAAGCTAGAAGTTTGCACAAGTCAAAGTTGCTGTCAGTCTTCTGTGGAGCTAAGGAATCAGTGTTGCCTTTTAGACATCCTGGTAGTCCCTTTTTGTAGCCGTCCGTAGCAAAGGCACAGGCACATGCCAGGCAAGCTGCCCACCTGGGCCTCCTCTGTAAGTGATTTTGAAATCTCGCCGCTCTGTGCATTTGCCTTTGGACAGAATTCAGCTTCTTCCTTTTTATTTGACACTTCAGATATTCCTATCTCAAACTTTCTCATGAATTTTTATTAGGGGAAAATTCTCTGGGGAGAGATATTTAAAGACAAAAATAAGGACCCAGGTGGCCTGCGGGCTCAAAGACTAGAGGAAGGTGGCACAGCCTTTGGGAGGGCTGGGAACACTGGATCGGGGTGAGCTTCTGAAAGGAATGAAAATGGGCAAAATTGTGAGGGGGGATCTTCTGCCTGGTTCCTGTTTCTCTTTGACTTTATCATGATTAAAGCTGACTGCTGAAGACTTGAGTTTCTCTTGCTGCTGTTTGTTGTCAAATTTGAAAGGTGATGTTAATACTAGAAGAGGTTGAGCTGTGGTTTGGTCATGATGGGCTTGTTAGGGGTGCCTGTGCAGGTGGCAGCAGCAGCCTGTGAATTTCTTGACTGATGTGCATATTATACATTGGAAAAATCATTTGGCTTTGCAGTTAAAAATACATATCGTTGCCCTTTGAAGGAGGGTAATTTGGTAAGAGATGAATCCACTGGCGTTACAGGCCAACCTGAGAGGTCAGAGGGACTGCGGGTGGCTGGACTCATCTCTTAACAGGAATTACAAATATTGTTGTAGCTATAGGCCTGACTCTGGCAGCACCGGATTCACGAACAGCCTGTTGACTGTAGGTCCAATCTCCTTCAAAACAAGTAGTCAAGTTCACAAACAGCATGATTTATTCAAATGCAACAATTACAAAGCAGGTTTGGGTGTCAGTACAGGAAATTCTCTACTTCAGCGTGGGGTTCTTAGCTAGTGCCTAGTGTACAAATGCACAGTAATCACTTGCCCGAGAAATGGGAGAGGGCTCCCAACCTTGGGGAGTCTCCTCAGGAGATGTCCCGACCTGAGCGGAAGAGAAGGGGAATCAGCTGGTCGACCAATGCAGAAGTTACAATGGAGGTGGAGTCTTCCCTCCAACTTCTTCGCTCCTTAGTTCACCTTTTATTTCTTTTCTTACGTTTAGGTGGAGTTTGGGTGACTGTAGTCACTATTGTTATTGACTGGTGAACAGGTTTCTCGCTTTCATTTCAAGGTACAGTCAATAGAAGATCTAGAGCGAGTGCTCAGTGAGGAACGGTCGTACCTCGGAGGCGGGTAACTTTCAGGATGAAGGTGTGAGTTGGCCTTATAATGAGCAAAGTTCAAGCAAAATTCATGCGAAAGGAGTGATTTGCCACCCTTGCTGTCTCAGCACCGAACATCTTATTGTAGATTTCCCTTTGGGCAGCTACTGTGTGGCTCATCAGCGGCCCAGCACAGGGAGGACAACAGAGTTTGGCCGCGGTGTCTTCACTCCACCCTCCGTTACTCCTCTTTGCAGCTGCAAGGAGGGCAGATTGGACTGCCTAGGGAACCGTGGAGGAGCAGAGTCTGTGCAAACCAAACATCCTGGAAGTGGCAACTGTGCATCACCCCCAGAAAGCTTCTGTAATGACAGAACTTCTGTTAGGCCCTGTTTTTTCTCTAAATTCCCCTTTTTCAGGCAATTCTTATACATGTGTGTGTATATATATACGTGTATATATATAGGTAGATAACTGGCATAGGATTGCATCTGTCCTTAGGTGTTAAGTTGCAGATACTGGCAGGGGAATAAATAAATAAATATAAAAAAGAGAGATTTGGAGCCTTCAAAGGAACTCCAAAGTTTGAAAGATTAAGACCGAAGAGGAAAGTTCACCTGTAGGATATATGAGCCTCACTGGAATGAGCAGGTTCATCTGTCCTGTGCTTTGCTTTGCAAAATTGCTGTGAATGAACGGTAGCTGATGTCAATCTTTCAACAAGCCATTCCCAGCACGGTACAAGGTGACGTTACGTTTCCTTGTGAGAAAGGCCTGGCTTGAGTGGAAGTGGTTGGAGCTGAGGTTGCTCTTGCCCTTAAAGCATCTGGGAGGAGAGAGATGCAGGGACTGTAGGATGAAGAGGAAGGAGAAAGTGTGTGACCTTGCTGCTAGAAGGGCACTGCTTGGAGTGTCCAGCAGTGTTCAACTTACCTATCAATGACCTGGAAGATGGGGCAGAGAGCACCCTAGGCAAGTTTGCTGGTGATACAAAACTGGGGACAGTCACTGATCCCTTTTAGAGGGTCCTCCACAGGCTGGAGAGATTGGCAGTAGCTGGAACCTGGTAGTTCATGTTTATTTTAGCTAAATGTGCAAGGAATGAAAACGCACAAATGAATGTTGTCGTGAATGTAATTGGTTGTTGTCTTTTTCAGGAAATCTTTAAGCTGGAGAGCAACCTGGGAATTCCAAGACAAAAAAGAGCTATTTTGGCAACCCCAATTTTAATTCCAGAAAATCAAAGACCACCGTTCCCCAGATCTGTTGGCAAGGTAAGTCAACACTGAATAGGATCGAATTTTGATATTGAATAATTGATTCGTTTCTGTCAGGTTTTGCTATGCCTAGCATGCTGGTAGTAGTGATAAAGAGGATTTTGTTTATTTGTTTTTTTTTTGTGTAGACAGATGAACATGACTTTGTATTCACGGGGGACTTTGCTAGCGTATGCTGTGGTCAAAAGCACGAGTCAGAGCCCTGTGTTTTCCTGTGGCTGCTAACTTCAGTAGGCTGGTGCTGAAATCCAGGCCACGGGTGTTATGAGAATATCCCACTGCCACTTGTGGAACATCTTGTGGTTTTTTTTTTTATTTATTCTCAAGATCTAAAACAAATTTGTAAGGAAAAACGTTAGGATTCTTTACTTCTACCCAAAGATTATGTAAGTCTGTGTAGAGGCTTTCATTTTTCTACTACATTATCTGCAAAGCTCTGACAAAGAGACAAAGGGTTTTTTCACTTCTGCAGGCACCCCTATAAATGAGAGAATCCTAATAATTTTGTATGCAAGCTATATATTTGAAAAGCAGTTATCTTTAAAGCTTATAAAAAATTAAAATTATGTTTTAATTACCATTTGCTGTTTATATGGCCATTTAGGCATCAGAAGCTGTAATTACATGAATATATCCTGCACATGGGCAGTTTGAGGCAGAGACCCTACCTGTTGCTCTGATTTCCATGGGAATGTCGGTGCCGTAAGAGGCTCTGCAGCTGTGGGGTCAGTTTGTAATTTCTGCCGATGCAATCGCTAGAGCTAAACCCACAGCTCGAGGGCAGGATGTGACTCTACGATCAATGTGTAATTTAGCCAGCTGGCATCTAATCAGCTAGGTAAATGATTAGGAAATGGTTGACTCTTTTCAGGAAAAACAGAGAATAATTCCCTGAAAAAATTCTTTTCTCATCTTTCCTCCCCTACTGTTTATACTGATAACATACTTTGCTGTTAGTTTTGCCATCTTTCCAAGTACGTGTAAAATATGTCATTCTCAAATGAATTCTTTTCAATTTCAGTGTTTGAGAGTTACTGATCAATAACCTAGGAACTGTTTTTGGATAATATGTTAGTGATAAGCAGTTGATTTTTAAGACTTCTGTGCACAAGTCTAAAGCAGTGTGAGAAACAGAAAAGCTGCTTTTACACAGATCTGTGGTACCTACCTTTTTTCTTATTATTATGTACTATCCTTTCTCCCTATAGCTGCTGCCTGTGAACAAAGACTTGCAATTTGTTAGTTCTCAGATACTCTGAGTTGTTCTCCGGAATGTCTTCATTAAATATATTTATTGGAGGTTTAAGATGCCAGTCCTGGCAGTTGAGGTTCTCTAAACTTGAGATGATTCTAGTCCTATTAGTACTTAAATGTTTTCCTGACACCTTGTCATCTTGATTTGTTCTCATTCTTGAAATGCTAGTCTTGCAGCAGGGCACACTAGATGATGTGCAAATGCAGAAGTATAAAAGCACCAGAATTAGTAAAGTCCTAACACACTTATTTAAAAACAATGCTTAAACTATAGGAGCTGCAAATGATCAGTGACTTCAAATATTCAGAGCCATCATCTATTTAAAAATACTTTAAATGTAGATTTTTTTTTTTAACTTTTATCTACTTTAGGTATCCAGGTATGTGTGTTTTGACTACTGTCTATTGAAAAAAGTAGATACTATATATACATATTTTATTTTGATAACCGTGTATTTTTATATCTCTGCTTCTATTGGAAAACTCTCAAAGGGCAAGTGAAGAGCAAAAAATAAAAGCAGAAATGTACAGTTGGGGCTTAATAAAAATGTAATATTGAACACTATTGAAGTTGCTCCCTGGAAGGATGAACTCAGTCGATAGTGTTATCGTGAAGCACAGTGAGGACATCAGAGCAGGAAAAACGGATTTTTTCTAACACTGCACAGTCATTTTCAGACTGATTCCTTCTTTAGAAAGTTGCTTTCTACTGGGACTTGTCTGAGAACGTATCAAAAGAGGGTTTGTCAAAGAAAGGAGGGAAGACCTTCTTTGATAGAGAAGCCGCCTTCTCCGTGATGGTCATCGTGTCACTGCTGTGGCACCGGGCACCCAGATGGGACTGAGGACGTGTCTCCCATGGGAGCCAATCCCATGTCCCGAGGTGTCCCCGCGCTGCCAGGGCTGGTCTAGCTCAAGCTGATGCTCAATTGTATCGTGGTACTGATGGTTTTTATTGTGAGGCCAAGGAAGAGCCCGGGTCCAGGCATTTATTGGCATATTCTCAACTAACGCAACATTCTGGCTGCTCCATTAGCACATACTGAATTTGTATTGAGCATTTCCGTGTTTCCATTGCAAGAAAATAATACATAAACCCAACTTCTAAAACTCTGCTTAGCATATTTCAAAATTTATGTGTCTTTAACCATGTAAGAAGCAGTTTTAGAAGTTCAGAGGCTCTTTATAGTTCTGTCATTACCAGCAATGTTACACTGGCTTGTCATCAAGCTCCCCACTGTCCCTGTGTCCACGTGGGACAAGCCTGTAGAATATTGGATTCAGAATATCACTAGCAATACCTGGTCATGTTAACGTGTCAGGGTTGTTGCTCACTTAAATGTTAAAAGTGATTTTCTTGAAGCAACAAATTCTTCACCTGATACAACATATTAACAAAATCATTTAGGAACTAGGAATCAGGAATGCGCATGTGGGGAAAAAATGTACACTTTGCCATTTATAGGAGAGCAGGGAAGAATAATTAATATTTTTCACAGTTAGGAAACAACCGTATAAAGAGAAAATTGAGGTTTGTAGAGTGCTTTATTCTCTAATGGTTGGTATAAATCAGGGAGGAGATATTGCACTGGACAAGTGAAAAAAAAAATTGTTCTAATTAATTGCAGAAATTCCAGTTGGTGTTTAGCTTAACAAGGAAATGCACATGTAGAGGCTCTTTTCTGTGCTTTTACTGGCCTCCTAGCTTATCCACCTAGGAACAAGATTATTGCCTTGCCGTTTGCACGCCCTTGCTTAGGGTATCTCTTAATTAAATAACTATCATAGACGTGCTGTGCTTTGGAGTAGAGGAATCTCACCTTCTCGTAGGGTCTAAGCCTTGGCATATTACCCTTCATTCCTGAGGGAGGCCAGAGTGATTAAAATATTTTAATACGCTCTTGGTAACACAGGCCTTTGTGTCCAGATGGCCCAGGCCACAACAGTTGACTGTTATTGATGTGTTTTGCCTAGCTCTCGCTGGTATAGCACAGGGATATTATATTCAATTTTTAGTCTCTCTCCATATGTTACTCTTCCAGTTTATTTGTCCATATCAACTCAAATGAAGTACAAAGCAGTGGGATGCGGGATTACAGTGTAATTACAGTGATAGGTTATTTGTCAGTGCGCTATAGAGATGTAGCCTAAGACTAATTTAAGAGTGGTGTATCTATGTATCAATTTGATTGTCTCTAGACATTTCGTAATGGAATTTTTTGAAGTTTAATCCTTATACCAATAAAAAGCTCAAAAAGCAGGAGGGCTATTGTGGAAAGATAGCCAACAAGTATCTTCTTCCAGGCATCCAGAGAGAAGGTCATCTGTGGAGTGTGTGTAGCATTTGCTGCACATTTTACTGGGGGGGTGATGAATTTGTACAATGAATCCATGAATCCATCTGAATTTAAAGGAATGTCCTTCATAAGAATGAGTATTTTACTACTTATAGCTTGTAGCCTAAGATGTGGAAGCCAAGAATGACTTGATAAAAGTTGGCAAGACCAGCTAATGGTCAGTGATGGCCAGAAAACAGGGAGAGAGACAGGAGAATTTTCAGCGCCTTTGTGCCGAAAGATGAAAAAGCAATTTTTAAAAATTTGTTTGTTTCATTTTATGGTTTTGGTTTTTTTTCAGTAAAGTATTGTTGCTTGGATGTTTGTGTTTTTTGAGAAGGAGGATGCTTGGGTCAGGTCTCAGGTATCAGCCTGGGTGTAGGTTTTCTGCTTTGATCATCTGGCTCGTGGGCAAGATGTCAAAGCTGTCAAAGGGCAAATAGATGGCAGGACTGACCTGAACAAAAGCTCCAGAAAAAGTGACTTATGCTCCCAAGCAGGCTAGAAATTTGTGATCAGTGGGGTTTTGTTTTGTTTTGTTGTGTTCCCCTGGTTGCCTCCTCCCTGACCTGTGCATGTAGACAAGGAGAAAATACAAATGGTCAGTTCATACAACACCTAAAAGAAAAAAAAAATGAAGAAGAGAGGAAAACCAAAGATAACTGGATAGAAAAACTGCTGGAAGCTTATTATTTTTGAGTAGATATCTGATTTAGGCTATTTATATCTGATAAATTATATGCTTCGTGGAAAGGAATTGTTAAGTATTAAAGATGCAGCTGGAAAAAGGCCAAACTTCAGAAAAGTGTTTGAAAAGAAGTAACAAAAGTAAAGTAACAAGATAGAGATGATTATGATCCACCAATCTGAACACAACCTAGAGAGAAGACTAGATTAGAAGAGGATACGTGAAAGATAGCAGAGAACAAGATCCACGAAGGAGTGGATTTGTTTCACTGGAAAATGAGGCAGAAAACGCGGGAAAAGGAGAGAGAGATTTTTCCAAAAGAGAGATGGATAGGGAAAGGAGGTGGCTGAGGTTGGTGTCCAAGTCTGGAAGATAATGGTGGGTACTGACAGAGAACAAAATGATATACAAAGCAGAAAAATATACCTAATTCAGCAAGAATGCCGATTCCTCTGCAAGGAGGGTGGAAGCCTGGTGAGATAACATTTAGGATGAAGTAGTTGAAAAATTGGGCCAATAGGGAGATGCTGAAATGTCTGGCTCCTGGGAAGCATTGCTGAGCAAGGACATTTTCCAATGAATGTTCCACTTGAGTACAAGGAGTTCTGCCTTTTTGGCGTCAAAGTTTGATGGCATATGAGAAAAGCACTCATTAAGGTGTGTGAAAGACATACATCTATCAAACTCTGCAGGAAAAGACGAATCTGTAGGCAAAGATC